TTGGCACACCTGTATTTGGGGAGTTTCTCCCTTTCTTCTCTGCAGATCCTCTCAAGCTCTGTCAGGTTGGATGGGGAGTGTTGCTGCACAGCTATTTTCAGGTCTCTCCAGAGATGTTCGATCGGGTTAAAGTCCGGGCTCTGGCTGGGCCACTCAAGGACATTCAGAGACTTGTCCCGAAGCCACTCCTACGTTGTCTTGGCTGTGTGCTTAGGGTCGTTGTCCTGTTGGAAGGTGAACTTTCGGCCCAGTCTGAGGTCCTGAGCGCTGTGGAGCAGGTTTTCATCAAGGATCTCTCTGTACTTTGCTCCGGTCATCTTTCCTTCGATCCTGCCTAGTCTCCCAGTCCCTGCCGCTGAAAAATATCCCCACACCATGATGCTCCTGATGTGACGCTTGGCATTCAGGCCCAAGAGTTCAATCTTGGTTTCATCAGACCAGAGAATCTTGTTTCTCATAGTCTGAGAGTCTTTAGGTGCCTTTTGGCAAACTCCAAGTGGGCTGTTATGTGCCTTTTACTGAGGAGTGGCTTCCGTCTGGCCACTCTACCATAAAGGCCTGATTGGTGGAGTGCTGCAGAGCTGGTTGTCCTTCTGGAAGGTTCTCCCATCTCCACAGAGGAACTCTGGAGCACTGTCAGAGTGTCCATCGAGTTCTTGGTCACCTCCCTGACCATTGCCCTTTTCCCCCGATTGCTTAGTTTGGCCGGGCGGCCAGCTCTAGGAAGAGTCTTGGTGGTTCCAAACTTCTTCCATTTAAGAATGATGGAGGCCACTGTGTTCTTGGGGACCTTCAATGCTGCAGAAATGTTTTGGTACCCTTCCCCAAATCTGTACCTCGACACAATCCTGTCTCGGAGCTCTACGGACAATTCCTTCGACCTCATGGCTTGTTCTTTTCTCTGACATGCACTGTCAACTGTGGGACCTTATATAGACAGGTGTGTGCCTTTCCAAATCATGTCCAATCAATTGAATTTACCACAGGTGGACTCCAATCAAGTTGTAGAAATATCTCAAGGATGATCAATGGAAACAGGATGCACCTGAGCTCAATTTCGAGTCTCATAGCAAAGGGTCTGAATACTTATGTAAAAAATGGTATTTCTGTTTTTTATTGCAAAAATGGCTAAAAACCTGTTTTCACTTTGTCATTATGGGGTATTGTGTGTAGATTGATGATGAAAACAAATAATTTAATCACTTTTAGATTAAGGCTGTAACATTACAAAATGTGGAAAAAGGAAGGGGTCTGAATACTTTCCGAATGCAGTGTATAGGGGTAAGGTGACTAGTTATCAGGATATATGATAAACAGAGTAGCAGCAGCATACAGTGGGGAGAACAAGTATTTGATACACTGCCGACTTTGCAGGTTTTCCTACTTACAAAGCATGTAGAGGTCTGTATTTTTATCATAGGTACACTTCAATTGTGAGAGACGGAATCTAAAACGAAAATCCAGAAAATCACATTGTATGATTTTTAAGTAATTAATTTGCATTTTATTGCATGACATAAGTATTTGATACATCAGAAAAGCAGAACTTAATATTTGGGACAGAAACCTTTGTTTGCAATTACAGAGATCATACGTTTCCTGTAGGTCTTGACCAGGTTTGCACACACTGCAGCAGGGATTTTGGCCCACTCCTCCATACAGACCTTCTCCAGATCCTTCAGGTTTCGGGGCTGTCGCTGGGCAATACGGACTTTCAGCTCCCTCCAAATATTTTCTATTGGGTTCAGGTCTGGAGACTGGCTAGGCCACTCCAGGACCTTGAGATGCTTCTTACGGAGCCACTCCTTAGTTGCCCTGGCTGTGTGTTTCGGGTCGTTGTCATGCTGGAAGACCCAGCCACGACCCATCTTCAATGCTCTTACTGAGGGAAGGAGGTTGTTGGCCAAGATCTCGCGATACATGGCCCCATCCATCCTCCCCTCAATATGGTGCAGTCGTCCTGTCTCCTTTGCAGAAAAGCATCCCCAAAGAATGATGTTTCCACCTCCATGCTTCACGGTTGGGATGGTGTTCTTGGGGTTGTACTCATCCTTCTTCTTCCTCCAAACACGGCGAGTGGAGTTTAGACCAAAAAGCTCTATTTTTGTCTCATCAGACCACATGACCTTCTCCCATTCCTCCTCTGGATCATCCAGATGGTCATTGGCAAACTTCAGATGGGCCTGGACATGCGCTGGCTTGAGCAGGGGGACCTTGCGTGCGCTGCAGGATTTTAATCCATGACGGCGTAGTGTGTTACTAATGGTTTTCTTTGAGACTGTGGTCCCAGCTCTCTTCAGGTCATTGACCAGGTCCTGCCGTGTAGTTCTGGGCTGATCCCTCACCTTCCTCATGATCATTGATGCCCCACAGGGTGAGATCTTGCATGGAGCCCCAGACCGAGGGGTGATTGACCATCTTGAATTTATAATCTAATCTAATAATTGCGCCAACAGTTGTTGCCTTCTCACCAAGCTGCTTGCCTATTGTCCTGTAGCCCATCCCAGCCTTGTGCAGGTCTACAATTTTAGCCCTGATGTCCTTACACAGCTCTCTGATCTTGGCCATTGTGGAGAGGTTGGAGTCTGTTTGAGTGTGTGGACAGGTGTCTTTTATACAGGTAACGAGTTCAAACAAGTGCAGTTAATACAGGTAATGAGTGGAGAACAGGAGGGCTTCTTAAAGAAAATCTAACAGGTCTGTGAGAGCCGGAATTCTTACTGGTTGGTAGGTGATCAAATACTTATGTCATGCAATAAAATGCAAATTAATTACTTAAAAATCATAATGTGATTTTCTGGATTTTTGTTTTAGATTCCGTCTCTCACAGTTGAAGTGTACCTATGATAAAAATTACAGATCTCTACATGCTTTGTAAGTAGGAAAACCTGCAAAATCGGCAGTGCATCAAATACTTGTTCTCCCCACTGTGTATGATGATTGTATGTGAGTGGGTGTGCGGGTGTGTAGAGTCAGTATAACACCGCCTGATATATAGGTCCTGGATGGCAGGGAGCTCGGTCCCAGTGATGTAATGGGCTGTCCGCACCACCCTCATATTCTGCCTGGAGGTATCACTGATCTACCTCTCTTTAGACTGACACATAGACTGGAGGTATCACTGATCTACCTCTCTTTAGACAGACACATAGACTGGAGGTACAGTGGGTGGAAAAAGTATTTAGTCAGCCACCAATTGTGCAAGTTCTCCCACTTAAAAAGATGAGAGAGGCCTGTAATTTTCATCATAGGTACACATCAACTATGACAGACAAAATGAGAAGAAAAAATCCAGAAAATCACATTGTAGGATTTTTAATGAATTTATTTGCAAATTATGGTGGAAAATAAGTATTTGGTCAATAACAAAAGTTTCTCAATACTTTGTTATATACCCTTTGCTGGCAATGACACAGGTCAAACGTTTTCTGTAAGTCTTCACAAGGTTTTCACACACTGTTGCTGGTATTTTGGCCCATTCCTCCATGCAGATCTCCTCTAGAGCAGTGATGTTTTGGAGCTGTCGCTGGGCAACACAGACTTTCAACTCCCTCCAAAGATTTTCTATGGGGTTGAGATCTGGAGACTGGCTAGGCCACTCCAGGAACTTGAAATGCTTCTTACGAAGCCACTCCTTCGTTGCCCGGGCGGTGTGTTTGGGATCATTGTCATGCTGAAAGACCCAGCCACGTTTCATCTTCAATGCCCTTGCTGATGGAAGGAGGTTTTCACTCAAAATCTCACGATACATGGCCCCATTCATTCTTTCCTTTACACGGATCAGTCGTCCTGGTCCCTTTGCAGAAAAACAGCCCCAAAGCATGATGTTTCCACCCCCATGCTTCACAGTAGGTATGGTGTTCTTTGGATGCAACTCAGCATTCTTTGTCCTCCAGACACGACGAGTTGAGTTTTTACCAATAAGTTCTATTTTGGTTTCATCTGACCATATGACATTCTCCCAATCCTCTTCTGGATCATCCAAATGCACTCTAGCAAACTTCAGACGGGCCTGGACATGTACTGGCTTAAGCAGGGGGACACGTCTGGCTCTGCAGGATTTGAGTCCCTGGCGGCGTAGTGTGTTACTGATGGTAGGCTTTGTTACTTTGGTCCCAGCTCTCTGCAGGTCATTCACTAGGTCCCACCGTGTGGTTTTGGGATTTTTGCTCACCGTTCTTGTGATCATTTTGACCCCACGGGGTGAGATCTTGCGTGGAGCCCCAGATCGAGGGAGATTATCAGTGGTCTTGTATGTCTTCCATTTCCTAATAATTGCTCCCACAGTTGATTTCTTCAAACCAAGCTGCTAACCTATTGCAGATTCAGTCTTCCCAGCCTGGTGCAGGTCTACAATTTTGTTTCTGGTGTCCTTTGACAGCTCTTTGGTCTTGGCCATAGTGGAGTTTGGAGTGTGACTGTTTGAGGTTGTGGACAGGTGTCTTTTATACTGATAACAAGTTCAAACAGGTGCCATTAATACAGGTAACGAGTGGAGGACAGAGGAACCTCTTAAAGAAGAAGTTACAGGTCTGTGAGAGCCAGAAATCTTGCTTGTTTGTAGGTGACCAAATACTTATTTTCCACCATAATTTGCAAATAAATTCATAAAAAATCCTACAATTTGATTTTCTGGATTTTGTCTGTCATAGTTGACGTGTACCTATGATGAAAATTACAGGCCTCTCATCTTTTTAAGTGGGAGAACTTGCACAATTGGTGGCTGACTAAATACTTTTCCCCCCCCCACTGTATCACTGATCTACCTCTCTTTAGACTGACACAGACTGGAGGTATCACTGATCTTCTCTTTCTCACCTGAGAGCCTTGTGTGTGTCTTTAGGTGGTTGTAATGAGATTATGTGCAATCTTTTTTTCACGTGGAGAGCAGGGTGGCATCCAGCACGTGAGATTTCAAATAAGATGATTTTCATGTTTTTAACTAGGCTTATACATTCATGACTAATGATGTAATATAAAAGGTTGTGTGTTGCAGGGTGATGGCGGTGAATGTATTCTCCATCTCTTCGGCTGTAGAGAACCTGAGTCGTCATGACATGCTGGCCTGGGTCAATGACTCTCTACAGCTCACCTACACCAAGATAGAGCAACTGTGCTCAGGTAACACACTCAATCATTACAATTCATTATATTACAGGTAACACACTCACTCAATCATTACAATTCATTATATTTCATTACATATATTCATAAACAATATGTGCTAACTTATAAATGCCTCATGTTGATACAACTGTAGTATTTAATCACAACCTAGTCCTTTGTTTATGTTGTGTGTGTGTGTGTGTGTATATAGGTGCAGCGTATTGTCAGTTTATGGACATGCTGTTTCCTGGCTGTGTCCTGCTGAAGAAGGTGAAGTTCTCAGCCCGGCTGGAACATGAGTTCATCAACAACTTCAAGGTCCTACAGGCCTCCTTCAAGAGGATGGGGGTAGACAAGGTACCAACACACACCCTAACACACACACACACCCTAACACACACACACACACACCAGAGGAGGCTGGTGTGGGGAGGACAGCTCATAATAATGTCTAAAGGAAACCATGTGTTTGATATATTTGATACCATTCCACTCATTACAACGAGTCTGTCCTCCTTAATTAAGGTGCGACCAACCTCCTGTGCCTCACCCAAACACACACACACCTACAGGCCTCCTCCAAGGTGCATCATCATCCTTAAGTGTGTACAGTTGATTGTGTAGCTCAATTAAGTCACTTTAAAACTGGGAATCATTAATGGTGAAACTGTCACGTCTGTTTGGGATATTATATTAAACCTGGAATCATTAATGGTGAAACTGTCACGTCTGTTTGGGATATTATATTAAAGCTGGAATCATTAATGGTGAAACTGTCACGTCTGTTTGGGATATTATATTAAAGCTGGAATCATTAATGGTGAAACTGTCACGTCTGTTTGGGATATTATATTAAAGCTGGAATCATTAATGGTGAAACTGTCACGTCTGTTTGGGATATTACGACAGAGAAGTTACTGTATACAGTGAACACTGTTTTTTTCCTCTGACATCATTGCATGCAGGATAGAACAGCAGAATATGTTCTGCACTTTGTTTTAGCCCTGCCGGACGCTCCTCACCTCCGCTTTGGTCAACAAAACAATAACAAAGCAGCTGAGGCCAACAGTGGCGCTGTTTCCTCTAATGCGGACTGTTTCCTCTAATGCAGACTGTTTCCTCTAATGCGGACTGTTTCCTCTAATGCGGACTGTTTCCTCTAATGCGGACTGTTTCCTCTAATGCGGACTGTTTCCTCTAATGCGGACTGTTTCCTCTAATGCGGACTGTTTCCTCTAATGCGGACTGTTTCCTCTAATGCGGACTGTTTCCTCTAATGCGGACTGTTTCCTCTAATGCGGACTGTTTCCTCTAATGCGGACTGTTTCCTCTAATGCAGACTGTTTCCTCTAATGCGGACTGTTTCCTCTAATGCGGACTGTTTCCTCTAATGCGGACTGTTTCCTCTAATGCGGACTGTTTCCTCTAATGCAGACTGTTTCCTCTAATGCGGACTGTTTCCTCTAATGCGGACTGTTTCCTCTAATGCGGACTGTTTCCTCTAATGCGGATTTGGACTAGCCTCGTATGAACCATCCTGATCTTGTGAGCTTACATTGTGTTTGGCTACACGGATACAGTCTGGACACGACCACATTCAAACCGCTTGAGCCCGTCCCTCTCCTTGCACCGTATGGCCGGACCAATCAGCGTCCTTGATAATCTGGGGTGGTTTAGTTGATGGCGACCATGAGAAGCACTGAAGTCAAATCATAACAACAATGGCTGCTCTTGAGGAGGTTGGCAGCACTTATATCAGAACTGCAGGGCAGAACTTCATTGAAAGAACTGCAGATAACTGCATTGACTCTACTGTTTCACTCTTCTCCAGACTGAGCCCAACTCTCACTGTTGTGTCGTTGTTGGAGGACCAGATCAGAGAGGCTGTGAAGCTGGGGATCACTGTTGTGTCGTTGTTGGAGGACCAGATCAGAGAGGCTGTGAAGCTGGGGATCACTGTTGTGTCGTTGTTGGAGGACCAGATCAGAGAGGCTGTGAAGCTGGGGATCACTGCTATGCAACTCGGTGGAAAAAATTACACAGACATCCTCCATGGACGTTGCCAGATTGTTTTTGGTAGCCCAGAGACTTGCTTGCCGAAGTGACGGAATATGCTGGCATCAAGTGTAATGTTATCTAGAAAACCTCATGGGGATTGTTGTGGATGACGTTCACGCCACATACAAATAGTAAATATAACTACATCATTTGATATCAAACGAATCCACGTTATGTTGAACATTAATTTGGCTCCTAGCTAACAACTAACTAAATAGCTAGCTAGGAGTGCATAAGTAGCAGACCTTCTCAAAGACAATAAGCTAACTTTAGCTAGCCGTATGCCTCGCTCCAACAGCTAACTGGCTAGCCGTATGCCTCGCTCCAACAGCTAACTGGCTAGCCGTATGCCTCACTCCAACAGCTAACTGGCTAGCCGTATGCCTCGCTCCAACAGCTAACTGGCTAGCCATATGCCTCGCTCCAACAGCTAACTGGCTAGCCGTATGCCTCGCTCCAACAGCTAACTGGCTAGCCATATGCCTCGCTCCAACAGCTAACTGGCTAGCCGTATGCCTCGCTCCAACAGCTAACTGTAGCTAGCCATATGCCTCGCTCCAACAGCTAACTGGCTAGCCGTATGCCTCGCTCCAACAGCTAACTGGCTAGCCATATGCCTCGCTCCAACAGCTAACTTTAGCTAGCCATATGCCTCGCTCCAACAGCTAACTGTAGCTAGCCATATGCCTCGCTCCAACAGCTAACTTTAGCTAGCCATATGCCTCGCTCCAACAGCTAACTGTAGCTAGCCGTATGCCTCGCTCCAACAGCTAACTGTAGCTAGCCATATGCCTCGCTCCAACAGCTAACTGTAGCTAGCCGTATGCCTCGCTCCAACAGCTAACTGTAGCTAGCCGTATGCCTCGCTCCAACAGCTAACTTTAGCTAGCCGTATGCCTCGCTCCAACCTAATGTTTCAACGTTACAGACAGTATGATGACTTCTGTTTGCAAGTCCATAGCTATGCATGTTGTTATACTTCCTGATCTAGACATTTGTGTTGGATCTTATTGTCTTTCAACCATGGGAGAGGGTGCAAAAGGGGAGCCAGCCTTCAGAGAGAGCTTTGCAAAGCTGGGAGAAGTCAGATCCATTGCCAGAGAGGGTGAGTAAACATTGTCTTGTCACCGAATAAAACCAGTGCCAGTTCATGTCCTCCTGGGCCCATATTCTTAAAGTGTCTTAGAGTAGGACTGCTGATCAAAGATCAGGTCCAACCTGTTTCCTGGTCGTTTTACTTCTTTCTCCTGTAGCCCTCAAATTCAAGAGTCAGTTCAGGACTAAATCCTCTACAGGCTGCCTTGCTAGTGTAGATATGTGCTGTATTCTACAGCTGCCTCAGTTCAGTACTAAATCCTCTACAGGCTGCCTTGCTAGTGTAGAGATGTGCTGTGTTCTACTGCTGCCTCAGTTCAGTACTAAATCCACTACAGGCTGCCTTGCTAGTGTAGAGATGTTCTTAACCAGATGGCTCCTCTAACATATCCCAGGCCCTTCCTCTCTATACTTCACTAGAATGCAACCATCTTCTTGTAATAACTCCTGTTGTAAACCAAAGCACATTTTCACGGACATATATGTCTTATATGGGCAGAAAGCTTAAATTATTGTTAATCTAACTGCAGTGTCCAATTTACAGTCGGTATTACAGCGAAAAAATACCATTATATTGTTAGAAGATTGTGCACAACAACAAAACCCTTTTATCACGGCGACAGGTTTGATACATTCACCTCTGAAGGTAGATAATGTCCTTAGATTCAGTAATCTTGCTCTGATTTGTCATCCTGAGGGTCCCAGAGATAAAATCCAGCATAGTTCTGTTTGATAAAATCAACTTTTGTATCCTAACACGATTCATGTTGTAAACAGCATTCCGCCTGAATTCCGACTTGTTCAACTTGCAACAAAGCATTTCAACATAATATAAACGCTACACCTTGTTTCACCCGGTCAAGTTCTGTTTTTCTGCGATCCTCAGGTACTCTAGAAGGCAACAGAACTTTTTCAGCATCCTGCATGACGTATAGGCTACACAAAAGTTATTTTAGCCAACCAAGGGCTGACCTCCATTATGCACCAATGAGACGGGCGGTGTTCACTTGATTGACTGTATCTTGGTCCAATGACCACCTAACGTTTTGAAACATAGCTAGCTAGATAGCCAATGAGCTGGGCTTTACATGAGTGTGTGATGGTCCTTTGTATGAGTAAAAGCCATTGTGCTAAGCCCGTGCGCAACGAGACTCATTCTCCATTAAAAATTGAAAGGACCAAGAGGAGTTTATTACGCACAGCTCGATTTAGTTCTACAAAGTCTTCAGCAATTTTACTAAGTACAACAGTGGCTTCTAACACTGAAAAAGCTAAATCGAAGTCCAGATATACAGATTTGGACGAGATTATAGCAAAAATTGACTGTGAAAGTGACACAGAACCAGACTGGTTTTTGAAAGGATGAGACTTTAGACTGGTAAAATACGTTTTATTTAAATTTAGTGAAATACGTTTTTTCTTCTCATGCACTTGTTTGAGATTTTTTCTTTATTTATATATATATATATAACTCAGCAAAAAAAAGAAACGTCCTCTCACTGTCAACTGCGTTTATTTTCTTATCTTAACATGTCACGTTCGTTTAATGACGGGTCAGACCAAGGCGCAGCGTGATATGCATACATGTTTATTTTAACTAAAAAAACACCACGACAAAACAATAAACGAAACGAAATGTGAAGTCCAAGGTAGCACACACAACATACCTTAACCGGAACAAGATCCCACAACTAGACTGTGCCAATAGGCTGCTTAAGTATGGTCCCCAATCAGAGACAACGAGCGACAGCTGCCTCTGATTGGGAACCACACCAGCCAACATAGATCCACACATGCTAGATATACAACATAGAATATATACAAACAAAGAATACACACACCCTGACTCAACATATAAGTGTCCCCTGAGTCAGGGGGTGACAATGTAAATATTTGTATGAACGTAACAAGATTCAACAACTGAGACATAAACTGAACAAGTTCCACAGACATGTGACTAACAGAAATTGAATAATGTGTCCCTGAACAAAGGGGGGGTCAAAATCAAAAGTAACAGTCAATATCTGGTGTGGCCACCAGCTGCATTAAGTACTGCAGTGCATCTCCTCCTCATGGACTGCACCAGATTTGCCAGTTCTTGCTGTGAGATGTTACCCAACTCTTCCACCAAGGCACCTGCAAGTTCCCAGACATTTCTGGGGGGGAATGGCCCTAGCCCTCACCCTCCGATCCAACAGGTCCCAGACGTGCTCAATGGGTTTGAGATCCGGGCTCTTCGCTGGCCATGGCAGAACACTGACATTCCTGTCTTGCAGGAAATCACGCACAGAATGAGCAGTATAGCTGGTGGCATTGTCATGCTGGAGGGTCATGTCAGGATGAGCCTGCAGGAAGGGTACCACATGAGGGAGGAGGATGTCTTCCCTGTAACGCACAGCGTTGAGATCGCCTGCAATGACAACAAGCTCAGTCCAATGATGCTGTGACACACCGCCCCAGACCATGACGAACCCTCCACCTCCAAATTGATCCCGCTCCAGAGTACAGGCCTCGGTGTAATGCTAATTCCTTTGACGATAAGCGCGAATCCGACCATCACCCCTGGTGAGACAAAACCGTGACTCGTCAGTGAAGAGCACTTTTTGCCAGTCCTGTCTGGTCCAGCGACAGTGGGTTTGTGCCCATAGGCGACGTTGTTGCCGGTGATGACTGGTGAGGACCTGCCTAACAACAGGCCTACAAGCCCTCAGTCCAGCCTCTCTCAGCCTATTGCGGACAGTCTAAGCACTGATGGAGGGATTGGCCATTCCTGGTGTAACTCGGGCAGTTGTTGTTGCCATCCTGTACCTGTCCCGCAGGTGTGATGTTCGGATGTACCGATCCTGTGCAGGTGTTGTTACACGTGGTCTGCCACTGCGAGGACGATCACCTGTCCGTCCTGTCTCCCTGTAGCGCTGTCTTAGGTGTCTCACAGTACGGACATTGCAATTTATTGCCCTGGCCACATCTGCAGTCCTCATGCCTCCTTGCAGCATGCCTAAGGCACGTTCACGCAGATGAGCAGGGACCCTGGGCATCTTTCTCGTGGTGTTTTCCGGAGTCAGTAGAAAGGCCTCTTTAGTGTCCTAAGTTTTCACAACTGTGACCTTAATTGCCTACCGTCTGTAAGCTGTTAGTGTCTTAACGACCGTTCCACAGGTGCATGTTCATTAATTGTTTATGGTTCATTGAACAAGCATGGGAAACGGTGTTTAAACCCTTTACAATGAAGATATGTGAAGTTATTAGGATTTTTACGAATTCTTTGAAAGACAGGGTCCTGAAAAAGGGACGTTTCTTTTTTTGCTGAGTTTATAGAGATATATATAGATATACAGTGTGGAAAAAAAGTATTTAGTCAGCCACCAATTGTGCAAGTTCTCCCACACGCCTGTAATTTTCATCAAAGGTACACGTCAACTATGACAGACAAAATGAGAAAGAAAATTCCAGAAAATCACATTGTAGGATTTTTTATGAATTTATTTGCAAATTATGGTGGAAAATAAGTATTTGGTCACCTACAAACAAGCAAGATTTCTGGCTTCAACCTACTCAAGTGACTCACCCCTCCTAGGGACGGCATGGAAGAGCACTAGTAAGCCAGTGACTCAGTCCCCGTATTAGGGTCAGAGGCAGAGAATCCCAGTGGAGAGAGGGGAGCCGGCCAGGCAGAGACAGCAAGGGCGGTTCGTCACTCCAGTGCCTTGCCGTTCACCTGACGCACCCCTGGGCCAGACTACACTCAATCATAGGACCTACTGAAGAGATGAGTCTTCAGTAAAGACTTAAAGGTTGAGACCAAGTCTGCGTCTCTCACATGGATAGGCAGAACATTCCATAAAAATGGAGCTCTATAGGAGAAAGCCCTGCCTCCAGCTGTTTGATTAGAAATTCTAGGGACAATAAGGAGGCCTGCGTCTTGTGACCGTAGCGTACGTGTAGGTATGTACGGCAGGACCAAATCGGAGAGATAGGTAGGAGCAAGCCCATGTAATGCTTAGTAGGTTAGCAGTAAAACCTTGAAATCAGCCCTAGCCTTAACAGGAAGCCAGTGTAGAGAGGCTAGCACTGGAGTAATATGATCACATGGTTCTAGTCAAGATACTAGCAGCCGTGTTTAGCACTAACTGAAGTTTATTTAGTGCTTTATCCGGGTAGCCGGAGAGTAGAGCATTGCAGTAGTCTAATCTAGAAGGGACAAAAGCATGGATTAGCTTTTCTGCATCATTTTTTGACAACATTTTTCAGATTTTTTGCAATGTTATGAAGATGGATAAAAGCTGTCCTTGAAATATTATTCATATGTTCGTCAAAAGAGAGATCAGGGTCCAGAGTAACGCCGATGTCCTTCAGTTTTATTTGAGACGACTGTACAACCATCAAGATTCATTGTCAGATCCAACAGAAGATCTCTCTGTTTCTTGGGACCTTGAACTAGCATCTCTGTTTTGTCCGAGTTTAAAAGTAAAAAATGTACCGCCATCCACTTATGTCTGAAACACAGGCTTCCAGGGTCGGACATTTTGGGGCTTCACCATGTTTCATCGAAATGTACAGCTGTGTGTCGTCCGCATAGAAGTGAAAGTTGACATTGTGTTTGCGAATGACATCACCAAGAGGTAGAATATATAGTGAAAACAATAGTGGTCCTAAAACGGAACCTTGAGGAACGAACCATCCACAGAGACGAACTGACATCTTTCAGACAGATAAGATCTAAACCAGGCAAGTACTTGTCTGTGTCGACCAATTAGGGCTTCTAATCTCTCCAAAGGAATGTGGTGATCGATGGTGTCAAAAGCAGCGTTAAGGTCTAGGAGCACGAGGACAGATGCAGAGCCTTGGTCTGACGCCATTAAAAGTGAGTTTGGTTCACATCCAGTGGATAGGGAGCCATTTATTATGTTCAACATAGGAGGGCCAAGCACAGGAAGTAGCTCTTTCAGTAGTTTAGTTGGAATAGGGTCCAGTATGCAGCTTGAAGGTTTAGAGGCCATGACTATTTTCATGAATGTGTAAAGAGATACAGGATTTAAAAACTTGAGTGTCTGCATTGATCTTGAGTGTCTCCTGGCAGTTCTGTGCAGACTCAGGATAACTGAGGTTTGGAGAAATACGCAGATTCAAAGAGGAGTCCGTCATTTTCTTTCTAATGATCATGATCTTTTCGTTAAAGAAGTTAATGAATTCATCACTGCTGATGTGAAAGCCATCCTCTCTTGTTGAATGCTGCTTTTTAGTTAGCTTTGCGACAGTATCAAATATACATTTTAGATTGTTCTTATTCTCCTCAATTAGGTTGGAAAAATAGGCTGATCGAGCAGCAGTGAGGGCTCTTCGATATTGCTCTGTACTTTCTTTCCAAGCTAGTAGGAAGACTTCCAGTTTGGTGGAGAGCCATTTCCGTTCCAATTTTTTGGAAGCTTGCTTCAGGACTCGGGTATTTATATATTGTACCAGGGAGTACATTTCTTGTTTTTAGGGGTGCGCAAGGTTAAATTTAGATCCTCAGTTAGGTGGTTAACTGATTTTTATACTCCGACGTCCTTGAGTAGGTGGAGGGAGTCTGGAAGGGCCTCTAGGGACCTTTGGGATGTCTGAGAATTTATAGCACGGCTTATGATGGTCCTTGGTTGGGGTCTGAGCAGATTATTTGTTACGATTGCAAACGTAATAAGATGGTGGTCCGATAGTCCAGGGTTATGAGGAAAAACATTTAGATCCACAATATTTATTCCACGGGACAAAACTAGATCCAGGCAGTTCTACATTCTTAGCTAAAAATGAATAATAATAATAAAAAAAGTGGCTTGCCTGTTTTGAATGTTAGTTTTGCATTAATACGTGTCACAAATCAGTTTGCAAACAATGCAAAAAATCATAGAGTTAATATACTGAGGTGCATGTTCTGAGGACAGACAAGACATCTGTAGAGAGACACCCACTGGGTCAGAGTTTTACTGGGTCAGAGTATCCTTCAAAATAAAGCCTACTTTATTATCTATGGAAGATTTGTTAGACATATTTTAACATAGTTGAATATACAAACATGGTCTCTTTTTTGCTTTATTGAGTAAGGCAGCTCCAAAATGCAGGTGTTTCAGCCCAGCTCAGTGCTTTCTGTGGTGGTGGGGCAGCCAGCTCAGTGCTTTCTGTGGTGGTGGGGCAGCCAGCGGAAAATACGGAGCGTAGGGGCTGGTAATGTTCTCTAGTTGCGCCGTGATTGGCTCAGTGTTCTGTCACTCGCGGGGACACTACGTCACCGCCAAGTCTAAGGGTAGAGCTCGAAAATTCAAGCCCCTTGGGTGCTGCCATAGAGTTACATTAGAAGTGCCCATCTAAGAAGGCTCAAGGTCATTGGCCACTGATAAAATGACATCAAATCACGTTATATCTACAGTAGCTTTGATTGGACTGATCATGTCAACATCACACTTTCAAAATCTTAGCTAGCAGTCATCATCATGAATAAAGTCGACAATCTACTGGCAAATCCTTTTTAATCCTTGTCATATGAAGATAAATAATGAAGAGAAATTATAGATAAAATGGATCGGTGCTCATCGGACATTGGACATAAACATTACACAACAAGTTGGAAATCGCAAATTCAACAATGAGTGGTTTGGAAGGAATCAGTGGCTAACTGCAAGCATTGCAAAGCAATCACTAGCCTGCTATTCAGTGGAGTGGCTGTGTGGTCCCAAATCTGTGAATATGCTGCTGCATAAATGATGTAAAATGCCAGTGAAAAACGGTATGTATACTGTAGCTAAGAAAGTAATACTAAGTGTATGTTGTGTAGTAAGCTGTTAGTAGCCCATGTGCCTAACCCTAATAATTTGGTCTATTTTCCCCTCTTAACTTAGCCTACTGTTCTGACTTGGTGGTGCACATGTAGCCTATAACCTGTTTTAGAGAAATGTAATCATTGAATATTGTAAGAGCTTTCATTGTCTGCTTATATGCCCCCTTTATTTATCCTATGGTTCTGACTTGGTGTACAGGGAGAACACTGTAAGAACGGCCCATGTTCTGAATTCTGTCGCTGTACATTTCAAAAGTGCTGAACAAATAGTTATATTGACTACGTCCGTCCCAGCTCGCTCAATAATGTCTTAATGGAAATTACGGATTGCCTCTTATCCGCTCGTCGTCCCCTTATGCCGTAGTTTGTACATCTCAATTGTCAGTAGAAACCACACTTGTTTAAGCAAGTCAGCCATATCAACTATGTTTTTTTTAAGGCAGTAAATGAGGCTGAATGAACTGTTTCGCTGCCAGACAAGGCTCCGCTGATAGCCAGGTGGAGCAGTGGTAAGGTTTTGGGACAGCTTTATGGAGGCCCTAACAGTTTGTGGGCACCGTTTGCCACCGTTATAGTGCAATTAATGTATTGTTTAGTGTTGTGTGGTGACTTTGCTGGCATGCAACCCACATTTTTTTTTTTTTTTTTGCCCCACCAAGATTTACATGCTAAAATCGCCACTGGATCCAGGGTATGACTGTGGCAATGAGTAGGTCCGGAGACATGTTGGACAAAACCCACTGAGTCGATGATGGCCCCGAAAGCCTTTTGGAGTGGGTCTGTGGACTTTTCCATGTGAATATTAAAGTCACCAAAAATTAGAATATTATCTGCCTTGACTACAAGGTCCGATAGGAATTCAGGGAACTCAGTGAGGAACTCTGTATACGGCCCAGGAGGCCTGTAAACAGTAGCTATAACAAGGGATTGAGTAGGCTGCATAGATTTCATGACTAGAAGCTCAAAAGATGAAAAAACTGTCATTTTTGGGGGTAAATTGACATTTGCTATCGTAAATGTTAGCAACAGCTCCGCCTTTGCGGGATGCGTGGGGGATATGGTCACTAGTGTAACCAGGAGGAGAGGCCACATTTATCACAGTCAATTCATCAGGCTTAAGCCATGTTTCAGTCTGGCCAATCACATCAAGATTATGATCAGTGATTAGTTCATTGACTATGATGCCTTGGAAGTGAGGGATCTAACATTAAGAAGTCCTATTTTAAGATGTGAGATATTATCACAATCTCTTTCAATAATGACAGGAATGGAGGAGGTCTTTATTCCAGTGAGATTGCTAAGGCGAACACCGCCATGTTTAGTTTTGCCCAACCTAGATCGAGGCACAGACACGGTCTCAATGGGGATGGCTGAGCTGACTACACTGACTGTGCTAGTGGCAGACTCCACTAAGCTGTCAGGCTGGCTAACAGCCTGCTGCCTGGCCTGCACCCTGTCTCATTGGGGAGGCTAACAGCCTGCTGCCTGGCCTGCACCCTGTCTCATTGGAGAGGCTAACAGCCTGCTGCCTGGCCTGCACCCTGTCTCATTGGGGAGGCTAACAGCCTGCTGCCTGGCCTGCACCCTGTCTCATTGGGCTGGCTAACAGCCTGCTGCCTGGCCTGCACCCTGTCTCATTGGGCTGGCTAACAGCCTGCTGCCTGGCCTGCACCCTGTCTCATTGGGCTGGCTAACAGCCTGCTGCCTGGCCTGCACCCTGTCTCATTGGGGAGGCTAACAGCCTGCTGCCTGGCCTGCACCCTGTCTCATTGGGCTGACTAACAGCCTGCTGCCTGGCCTGCACCCTGTCTCATTGGGCTGGCTAACAGCCTGCTGCCTGGCCTGCACCCTGTCTCATTGGGCTGGCTAACAGCCTGCTGCCTGGCCTGCACCCTGTCTCATTGGGCTGACTAACAGCCTGCTGCCTGGCCTGCACCCTGTCTCATTGGGCTGACTAACAGCCTGCTGCCTGGCCTGCACCCTGTCTCATTGGGCTGGCTAACAGCCTGCTGCCTGGCCTGCACCCTGTCTCATTGGGCTGGCTAACAGCCTGCTGCCTGGCCTGCACCCTGTCTCATTGGGCTGACTAACAGCCTGCTGCCTGGCCTGCACCCTGTCTCATTGGGCTGGCTAACAGCCTGCTGCCTGGCCTGCACCCTGTCTCATTGGGCTGGCTAACAGCCTGCTGCCTGGCCTGCACCCTGTCTCATTGGGCTGACTAACAGCCTGCTGCCTGGCCTGCACCCTGTCTCATTGGGCTGGCTAACAGCCTGCTGCCTGGCCTGCACCCTGTCTCATTGGGCTGGCTAACAGCCTGCTGCCTGGCCTGCACCCTGTCTCATTGTGGAGCTAGAGGAGTTAGAGCCCTGTCTATGTTGGTAGATAAGATGAGAGCACCCCTCCAGCTAGGATGGAGTCCATCACTCCTCAGCAGGCCAGGCTTGGTCCTGTAACACCCCTCCATCTAGGATGGAGTCCATCACTCCTCAGCAGGCCAGGCTTGGTCCTGTAGCACCCCTCCAGCTAGGATGGAGTCCATCACTCCTCAGCAGGCCAGGCTTGGTCCTGTAGCACCCCTCCAGCTAGGATGGAGTCCATCACTCCTCAGCAGGCCAGGCTTGGTCCTGTAGCACCCCTCCAGCTAGGATGGAGTCCATCACTCCTCAGCAGGCCAGGCTTGGTCCTGTAGCACCCCTCCAGCTAGGATGGAGTCCGTCACTCCTCAGCAGGCCAGGCTTGGTCCTGTAGCACCCCTCCAGCTAGGATGGAGTCCATCACTCCTCAGCAGGCCAGGCTTGGTCCTGTAGCACCCCTCCAGCTAGGATGGAGTCCGTCACTCCTCAGCAGGCCAGGCTTGGTCCTGTAGCACCCCTCCAGCTAGGATGGAGTCCATCACTCCTCAGCAGGCCAGGCTTGGTCCTGTAGCACCCCTCCAGCTAGGATGGAGTCCATCACTCCTCAGCAGGCCAGGCTTGGTCCTGTAGCACCCCTCCAGCTAGGATGGAGTCCATCACTCCTCAGCAGGCCAGGCTTGGTCCTGTAGCACCCCTCCAGCTAGGATGGAGTCCGTCACTCCTCAGCAGGCCAGGCTTGGTCCTGTAACACCCCTCCAGCTAGGATGGAGTCCGTCACTCCTCAGCAGGCCAGGCTTGGTCCTGTAGCACCCCTCCAGCTAGGATGGAGTCCGTCACTCCTCAGCAGGCCAGGCTTGGTCCTGTAGCACCCCTCCAGCTAGGATGGAGTCCATCACTCCTCAGCAGGCCAGGCTTGGTCCTGTTTGTGGGTGAGTCCCAGGAAGAGGGCCAATTATCTACAAATTCTATATTTTGGGAGGGGCAGAAAACAGTTTTCAACCAGCAATTGAGTTGTGATACTGCTGTAGAGCTCATCACTCCTCCCCCTAACTGGGAGGGGCCAGAGACAATTACTGCTGTAGAGCTCATCACTCCTCCTCCTAACTGGGAGGGGCCAGAGACAATTACTGCTGTAGAGCTCATCACTCCTCCCCCTAACTGGGAGGGGCCAGAGACAATTACTGCTGTAGAGCTCATCACTCCTCCCCCTAACTGGGAGGGGCCAGAGACAATTACTGCTGTAGAGCTCATCACTCCTCCCCCTAACTGGGAGGGGCCAGAGACAATTACTGCTATAGAGATCATCACTCCTCCCCCTAACTGGGAGGGGCCAGAGACAATTACTGCTGTAGAGCTCATCACTCCTCCCCCTAACTGGGAGGGGCCAGAGACAATTACTGCTGTAGAGCTCATCACTCCTCCCCCTAACTGGGAGGGGCCAGAGACAATTACTGCTGTAGAGCTCATCACTCCTCCCCCTAACTGGGAGGGGCCAGAGACAATTACTGCTGTAGAGTTCATCACTCCCCCTAACTGGGAGGGGCCAGAGACAATTACTGCTGTAGAGCTCATCACTCCTCCCCCTAACTGGGAGGGGCCAGAGACAATTACTCGATGCCGACACATCTTTCTAGCTAATTTACACGCTGAAGCTATGTTGCTCTTGGTGACCTCTGACTGTTTCATCCTAACATCGTTGGTGCCGACGTGGATAACAATATCCCTATACCATCTACACTCACCAGTTTATGACTTAGCCAGCACCATCTTCAGATTAGCCTTTACGTCGGTAGCCCTGCCCCCTGGTAAACAGTGTATGATCGCTGGATGATTCTTTTTAAGTCTAATATTGTGGGTAATGGAGTCGCCAATGACTAGGGTTTTCAATTTGTCAGAGCTAATGGTGGGAGGCTTCGGCGGCTCAGACCCCGTAACGGGTGGAGGAGAGACCTGAGCAGGCTTGGCCTCTGACTCCGACTCGTTGCTTAGTGGGGAGAACCGGTTGAAAGTTTCTGTCGGCTGAATGAGCGACGCCGGTTGAGCATGCTGACAGCATTTCTTTCCAGAAGCCTTGAGAAAATTGTCCGGCTGCGGGGACTGTGAGAGGGGATTTATACTACTATCTGTACTTACTGGTGGCACAGACGCTGTTTCATCCTTTCCTACACTTACATTGCCCTTGCCTAACGATGGCATCTGAAGCTGGGCTTGCAGCACGGCTATCCTCACCATAAGGCGATAGTTCTCCTGTATATTATGAGTACAGCGACGGCAATTAGATGGCATAGTGTTAATGTTACTACTTAGCTTCGGCTGGTGGAGGTCCTGTAGAACCGTGTCCAGATAAAGGGTCCTGTAGAACCATGTCCAGATAAAGAGTCCTGTAGAACCATGTCCAGATAAAGGGTCCTGTAGAACCGTGTCCAGATAAAGGTTCCTGTAGAACCGTGTCCAGATAAAGGTTCCTGTAGAACCGTGTCCAGATAAAGGGTCCTGTAGAACCATGTCCAGATAAAGGGTCCTGTAGAACCATGTCCAGATAAAGCGTCCTGTAGAACCATGTCCAGATAAAGAGTCCTGTAGAACCATGTCCAGATAAAGAGTCCTGTAGAACCATGTCCAGATAAAGGGTCCTGTAGAACCATGTCCAGATAAAGAGTCCTGTAGAACCGTGTCCAGATAAAGAGTCCTGTAGAACCGTGTCCAGATAAAGCGTCCGGGGTTATAAGGTTGTATGATAAGGTCGAGCGAGGAAAAAACGAAGACATTGGTTAAATGTATTTAAAGTAAAAACCGAAGACTTTGTAGCAACAAACAGCACAGCAGCAGGGAGACTAGTCCGGAAGTTGACTGACACAGACGAGGAACCAACACTGTCCACTCTATCAGTCCATCAGATGCTGTCTGCGCCAACACCGGTGTACCTGAAAGACAAATACACACACCAATGCATCAGTAATCATAGCCCTTATAATAGCCTACGGTTCTGGAAAGTTCTCAACGGAAATCTGATGTTTTTGAAAATATTATAGACACACTGCTGTGTTTCAAGATGAAGTTATTTTTTGAACGGGTGTATGTGTGAAGCATTTACACAATTGTTTTATCCATCATCTTAGCTCACACTACTCATATCACAAGTGCATATGACTGTGTTCTTGCATGTCCCTCAAATATACCTAGAGGCCCTCAACCCAGCATGACAGAGATATTGTCCCGTTAAATGATGGGAAATCAGCTGGTTAGACTCTTGAATTTGAGGGCTACAGGAGAAAGAAGTAAAACGACCAGGAAACAGGTTGGACCTGATCTTTGATCAGCAGTCCTACTCTAAGACACTTTATGAATATGGGCCCAGGAGGACATGAACTGGCACTGGTTTTATTCGGTGACAAGACAATGTTTACTCACCCTCTCTGGCAATGGATCTGACTTCTCCCAGCTTTGCAAAGCTCTCTCTGAAGGCTGGCTCCCCTTTTGCACCCTCTCCCATGGTTGAAAGACAATAAGATCCAACACAAATGTCTAGATCAGGAAGTATAACAACATGCATAGCTATGGACTTGCAAACAGAAGTCATCATACTGTCTGTAACGTTGAAACATTAGGTTGGAGCGAGGCATATGGCTAGCTAAAGTTAGCTTATTGTCTTTGAGAAGGTCTGTTACATTTACAGTTTAGTCATTTAGCAGACGCTCTTATCCAGAGCGACTTACAGTTAGTGCATCCATGAGCATGTTCCCATGTTGCTGGGCAACGCTACAGTTAACACACACTACTTTATCCACGGAAACTGCACATCCCTCTATCTGAGTCGCAGCGCCACCTCTGTTTCACCACGCTCCCCACTGGATCTGAGTCGCAGCGTCACCTCTGTTTCACCACGCTCCCCACTGGATCTGAGTCGCAGCGTCACCTCTGTTTCACCACGCTCCCCACTGGATCTGAGTCACAGCGTCTCCTCTGTTTCACCACGCTCCCCACTGGATCTGAGTCGCAGCGTCTCCTCTGTTTCACCACGCTCCCCACTGGATCTGAGTCGCAGCGCCACCTCTGTTTCACCACGCTCCCCACTGGATCTGAGTCGCAGCGTCACCTCTGTTTCACCACGCTCCCCACTGGATCTGAGTCGCAGCGTCACCTCTGTTTCACCACGCTCCCCACTGGATCTGAGTCGCAGCGTCACCTCTGTTTCACCACGCTCCCCACTGGATCTGAGTCGCAGCGTCTCCTCTGTTTCACCACGCTCCCCACTGGATCTGAGTCGCAGCGTCTCCTCTGTTTCACCACGCTCCCCACTGGATCTGAGTCGCAGCGTCTCCTCTGTTTCACCACGCTCCCCACTGGATCTGAGTCGCAGCGTCACCTCTGTTTCACCACGCTCCCCACTGGATCTGAGTCGCAGCGTCTCCTCTGTTTCACCACGCTCCCCACTGGATCTGAGTCGCAGCGTCACCTCTGTTTCACCACGCTCCCCACTGGATCTGAGTCGCAGCTTCACCTCTGTTTCACCACGCTCCCCACTGGATCTGAGTCGCAGCTTCACCTCTGTTTCACCACGCTCCCCACTGGATCTGAGTCGCAGCGTCACCTCTGTTTCACCACGCTCCCCACTGGATCTGAGTCGCAGCGTCTCCTCTGTTTCACCACGCTCCCCACTGGATCTGAGTCACAGCGTCTCCTCTGTTTCACCACGCTCCCCACTGGATCTGAGTCGCAGCGCCACCTCTGTTTCACCACGCTCCCCACTGGATCTGAGTCGCAGCGTCTCCTCTGTTTCACCACGCTCCCCACTGGATCTGAGTCGCAGCGTCTCCTCTGTTTCACCACGCTCCCCACTGGATCTGAGTCGCAGCCTCACCTCTGTTTCACCACGCTCCCCACTGGATCTGAGTCGCAGCGCCACCTCTGTTTCACCACGCTCCCCACTGGATCTGAGTCGCAGCGTCACCTCTGTTTCACCACGCTCCCCACTGGATCTGAGTCGCAGCGTCACCTCTGTTTCACCACGCTCCCCACTGGATCTGAGTCGCAGTGCCACCTCTGTTTCACCACGCTCCCCACTGGATCTGAGTCGCAGTGCCACCTCTGTTTCACCACGCTCCCCACTGGATCTGAAACAAATATCACTACAGGTTACCTTCACTGATTCAACTGCACCCAACTCCTTTCAACCCCACCCTGAAACCACAAATGGATCCGCCAAAAGGCAAGGGTCCACTTTCTTCAAAAATGTGGACCAGATTCTTCTTTATCGTGTCCAAACTCGGCGTCCTCACCGCAGGCACTTCATCCTCACTCTCGTCAGGGGTGGCAGGTAGCTTAGTGTCTGCTAAATGACTAAAATGTAAATGTCAAAATGTTCCATCTCTGAACTACTGAAGCACGTGTCCCTCTTTTTGCACTTGACGCCAACCTTCCTCACCACACTGTTTCCCTGTACCCTCAGCTCCTTCCTCACCACAACATTTCCCTGTACCCTCAGCTCCTTCCTCACCACACTGTTTCCCTGTACCCTCAGCTCCTTCCTCACCACAACATTTCCCTGTACCCTCAGCTCCTTCCTCACCACACTGTTTCCCTGTACCCTCAGCTCCTTCCTCACCACACTGTTTCCCTGTACCCTCAGCTCCTTCCTCACCACAACGTTTCCCTGTACCCTCAGCTCCTTCCTCACCACACTGTTTCCCTGTACCCTCAGCTCATTCCTCACCACACTGTTTCCCTGTACCCTCAGCTCATTCCTCACCACACTGTTTCCCTGTACCCTCAGCTCATTCCTCACCACACTGTTTCCCTGTACCCTCAGCTCCTTCCTCACCACACTGTTTCCCTGTACCCTCAGCTCCTTCCTCACCACAACGTTTCCCTGTACCCTCAGCTCCTTCCTCACCACACTGTTTCCCTGTACCCTCAGCTCCTTCCTCACCACAACGTTTCCCTGTACCCTCAGCTCATTCCTCACCACACTGTTTCCCTGTACCCTCAGCTCCTTCCTCATCACACTGTTTCCCTGTACCCTCAGCTCATTCCTCACCACACTGTTTCCCTGTACCCTCAGCTCCTTCCTCATCACACTGTTTCCCTGTACCCTCAGCTCATTCCTCACCACACTGTTTCCCTGTACCCTCAGCTCATTCCTCACCACACTGTTTCCCTGTACCCTCAGCTCATTCCTCACCACACTGTTTCCCTGTACCCTCAGCTCATTCCTCACCACACTGTTTCCCTGTACCCTCAGCTCCTTCCTCACCACACTGTTTTCCCTGTACCCTCAGCTCATTCCTCACCACACTGTTTCCCTGTACCCTCAGCTCATTCCTCACCACACTGTTTCCCTGTACCCTCAGCTCATTCCTCACCACACTGTTTCCCTGTACCCTCAGCTCCTTCCTCACCACACTGTTTTCCCTGTACCCTCAGCTCATTCCTCACCACACTGTTTCCCTTTACCCTCAGCTCATTCCTCACCACACTGTTTTCCCTGTACCCTCAGCTCCTTCCTCACCACACTGTTTCCCTGTACCCTCAGCTCCTTCCTCACCACACGGTTTCCCTGTACCCTCAGCTCCTTCCTCACCACACGGTTTCCCTGTACCCTCAGCTCATTCCTCACCACACTGTTTCCCTGTACCCTCAGCTCATTCCTCACCACACTGTTTCCCTGTACCCTCAGCTCCTTCTCGGCGGTCATCACTGCACCTGCCACCGCAGTTAATTAAACTTCACTCTCGTCACGTTCAATTTCCTTCTGTAGCTCTTCCAGAAGTTCTGTGTGATCCTCCATTCCATATTCACTCAAAACATCTACTAATTCTCCTTTTGTTCTTGTCTGCCATCTTGTCCTTCATCAAATCTTCCAGCGGTTTGAATGTGGTTGTGTCCAGACTGTATCCGTGTAGCCAAACACAATGTAAGCTCACAAGATCAGGATGGTTCATACGAGGCTAGATTTGGACAGGAAGTGTGAAAGGTTTGGTATACCCATTATAAGCTAGTTTTACTCCATTGTGTTAAACAGACACTGTATAACAGGATGGTGGGGTGACCACACCCAGATCTCCCACCGCTCTCTCCCAGTAGAGGATGGGTGACCACACCCAGATCTCCCACCGCTCTCTCCCAGTAGAGGCTGGGTGACCACACCCAGATCTCCCACCGCTCTCTCCCAGTAGAGGCTGGGTGACCACACCCAGATCTCCCACTGCTCTCTCCCAGTAGAGGCTGGGTGACCACACCCAGATCTCCCACCGCTCTCTCCCAGTAGAGGCTGGGTGACCACACCCAGATCTCCCACCGCTCTCTCCCAGTAGAGGCTGGGTGACCACACCCAGATCTCCCACTGCTCTCTCCCAGTAGAGGCTGGGTGACCACACCCAGATCTCCCACCGCTCTCTCCCAGTAGAGGCTGGTGAAGGGTTAATAATGTTTCTCTCTGTCTCAGATCATCCCAGTAGAGAGGCTGGTGAAGGGGAGGTTTCAGGATAACTTTGAGTTCATCCAGTGGTTTAAGAAGTTATTTGATGCCAACTACGACGGGAAGGAGTATGACCCTGTGGCCACACGCCAGGGGCAGGAGGGCACCCCCTCACCCAACCCAGGTACACATCATGTCCTCACTGCTCCTCGAACCAGGTCATCTCATTTCCCACAAACCCAAATGACCCTCCTCTTCCTCATCTTCCTCCTCCTCTTGTAAAACGGATCCTTCCTGCCAGTCTGTGCCTGTCTGTGTTAATGTGCTGCTGAAGTGCTTTGACTGTTCTCTCCCTGGAAGGTATAAATCAGGCCTGGAGGGGCTGTTGTTTTCCTGTGTTTTTGGGTTGACCTTTTGGCAAGTCTTTTTTCAGGTTATTATAGTAGAACTGTGATGTAGCTAGCTGTTGATTGGGTGCTGCTGAGAGGCTTGTTAAGATTGGCTGTGTGTTCAGGCCACCAGAGGACGTCTCCCACGGCGACCAAGACAGTCCACGTCCCCCCGAAGCAGTCTGCCCCCATCCGCAGGGCGACGCCCACCAGAGCCAACGGAGCGTCAGATGCTGAGGTGCTAGAACTGAACCAGCAGGTACTGAGCCGCCCCCCCCAAACATGAAAATAAGCTCATTTATTCTCTCTATATATTTTTTTCTAAATGTTTGGTATATATTAAACACGATACTCTCCCTCTGTCTGCCTCCTTACCTTCTCTCCTCTCCACCTCTCCTCACCTCACCACCTCTCCTCACCTCACCACCTCTCCATCTCTCCTCTCCACCTCTCCTCTCCATCTCTCCTCTACACCTCTCCTCACCTCTCCACCTCTCTCCTCTCCACCTCTCCTCACCTCACCACCTCTCCACCTCTCCTCTCCACCTCTCCTCACCTCTCACCTCTCCTCTCCACCTCTCTCCTCTCACCTCTACACCTCTCCTCACCTCTCCACCTCTCTCCTCTACACCTCTCCTCACCTCTCCACCTCTCTCCTCTCCACCTCCTCCCCCCCTCCTCCTCTCCTCCTCCATCTCTCCTCTACACCTCCCTCACCTCTCCACCCTCTCCTCTCCTCTCCCTCTCCACCTCCTCCTCCTCTCCTCTCACTCCCTCTCCCCCCACCTCCTCCCCTCCACTCTCCCCTCCCCCTCTCCACCCCCCTCCTCCCTCCCTCTCACCTCTCTCTCCACCCTCCCACCTCCCACTCTCTCCTCTCCACCTCTCCTCTCCACCTCTCCCCTCTCCTCTCCACCCTCTCCTCACCCTCCCCTCTCCTCCTCTCCTCTCCACCTCTCCCTCCCTACCTCTCACCTCCACTCCACCCCCTCCCTCATCCACCTCTCCATCTCACATCTCTCCTCTACACCTCTCCTCACCTCTCCACCTCTCTCCTCTCCACACCTCTCACCTCTCCTCTACACCTCTCCCTTCCTCACCTCTCCTCCTCTCCCTCTCCACCTCTCCTCACCATCTCCTCCTCTCCTCCTCTCCTCCATCCTCTCCATCTCTCATCTCCTCCTCTCCCCTCTCCTCACCTCTCCACCTCTCCACCTCTCCTCTCCACCTCTCCACCTCTCCACCTCACCTCTCCATCTCTCCTCTACACCTCTCCTCACCTCTCCACCTCTCTCCTCTACACCTCTCCTCACCTCTCCTCTCCACCTCTCCATCTCTCCTCTCCACCTCTCCTCACCTCTCCTCTCCTCCTCTCTTCCACTCTCTCCTCTCTGTCTGTCGGTCTGTATTTCCTCTACCCCCTCTCCTCCTCTCCTCCTCTCTGTCTGTCTGTGTAGATGTTGGACCTGAAACTGACAGTGGAGGGTCTTGAGAAGGAGAGAGACTTCTACTTCAGTAAGCTGAGAGACATCGAGCTGATCTGTCAGGAGAATGAGACCAACGCCAGCCCAACACTCTCCAAGATCATGGATATACTGTACGCTACGGAGGTAGGACACAGACGCATACACACAGACAGACTATAAAACACACAACTATAAAACCACTATAAACCACTTCACATAACACGCATAAAACCACAGACTATCACACACCGACTAAAACACCACCGACCTTAAAACGCAGCTATCAACACAACTATAAAACACCCAGACTCTAAACACAGACTACATAAAACACAACGCTTAAACCAACGACTATAAACACAGACAACTTAAAACACAGACATCTATAACCCAGCAGACTATAACACAGCTCATAAAACACGACAGACTATACACACAGACAACCCCCCTCCCTAAACACATACAACTTAATCCAGACGAATATAAACAAAACCGACATAGAAGAGCAATATAAACGCAGACAGACTAAAACCAAACACTGACATAAGAAACACGACTGACTTAAAACACAGACAACCTATACACCACACAACTCTAACCAAGACATATAAACACACACTGACTATAAACACAGACTGACTATAAAAACAAGACAATAAAACACAGACTGACTATAAAACAGACAATATAAAACACAGACTGACTATAAAACAGACTATAAAACACAGACTATAAAACACAAAACACTGACTATAAAACAGACTGAATATAAAACACAGACAGACTATAAACACAGACAGACATAAAACACACACAGACTATAAAATACAGACTATAAAACAGACTGACTATAAAACACAGACAGACTATAAAACAGACTGAATATAAAACACAGACTATAAAACACAGACTATAAAACACAGACTATAAAACACAGACAGACTATAAAACACAGACTATAAAACACAGACTATAAAACACAGACAGACTATAAAACACAGACAGACTATAAAACACACACAGACTATAAAATACAGACTATAAAACAGACTGAATATAAAACACAGACAGACTATAAAACAGACTATAAAACACAGACAGACTATAAAACACAGACTATAAAACCAAGACTAGAAAATATAATACACACAACTATAAAACCAGACTAGAAATATAAAACACAGACAGACTATAAAACAGACTATAAAACACAGACAGACTATAAAACACAGACTATAAAACACAGACTATAAAACACAGACAGACTATAAAACACAGACAGACTATAAAACACAGACTATAAAACAGACTGACTATAAAACACAGACAGACTATAAAACACAGACAGACTATAAAACAGACAGACTATAAAACACAGACAGACTATAAAACACACACAGACTATAAAACAGACTGAATATAAAACACAGACTATAAAAGACAGACTATAAAACACAGACTATAAAACACAGACAGACTATAAAACACAGACTATAAAACAGACTGAATATAAAACACAGACAGACTATAAAACACAGACAGACTATAAAACACACACAGACTATAAAACACAGACAGACTATAAAACACACACAGACTATAAAACACACACAGACTATAAAATACAGACTATAAAACAGACTGACTATAAAACACAGACTGACTATAAAACACAGACTGACTATAAAACACAAAACACAGATTATAAAACAGACTGAATGTAAAACACAGACTATAAAACAGACTGACTATAAAACACACAGACTAAAACACAAAACACAGACTATAAACCAGACAATATAAAACACAGACAGACTATAAAACAGACAATATAAAACACAGACAGACTATAAAACACAAAACACAGACTATAAAACAGACATAAAACACACACCAGACATACTAAAACACACAGAAAATACGACATAAACAGACGCTATAAAACAACAGACTGACTATAAAACACAGACAGACTATAAAACACAAACACAGACTTACTAAAAACAGACAGATGTAAAACAGACTATAAACACAACGACTATAAAACACACAGACTAAAACAAAACCAGACTAAAACAGACATATAAAACACAGACAGAACTATAAACACAAAACACTATAAAACACAACAGACTATAAACACAAAACACAGACTATAAAACAGACTAAAAACAACACAGACAGACTAAAACACAAACACTGACTATAAAACAGACTGACTATAAAACACAGACGACTAAAAACACAACGACGACTATAAACAACTAGACTATAAACACAGACTACAAAACACAGACGATAAAACAGAATAAAAACACAGACTAACCAAACAAAACACAAAACACAGACTATAAAACAGACAATATAAAACACAGACAGACTAAAACACAAAACACTGACTATAAAACAGACTGACTATAAAACACAGACTGACTAAAACACAGACTATAAAACAGACTGAATATAAAACACAGACTGACTATAAAACACAAAACACAGACTATAAAACAGACTGAATATAAAACACAGAACCGACTATAAAACACAAAAAAAAAAACACAGACTACTAAAACAAACATAAACGAATATAAAACACAGACTGACTATAAAACACAAAACACAGACTATAAAACAGACTGAATATAAAACACAGACTGACTATAAAACACAAAACACAGACTATAAAACAGACTGACTATAAAACAGACAGACTATAAAACACATACAGACTATAAAACAGACTGACTATAAAACAGACAGACTATAAAACAGACAAACACAAAACACAGACTATAAAACAGACAATATAAAACACAGACAGACTATAAAACACAAAACACAGACTATAAAACAGACTAAAACACAGACAGACTATAAAACACACACACAGACAGACTAAAACACAAAACACTGACTATAAAACACAGACTGACTATAAAACACACACTGACTATAAAACACACACAGACTGACTATAAAACACAGACAGCCTATAATACACAGACTATAACACAAAACACAGACTATAAAACAGACTGAATATAAAACAGACTATAAAACACACACAGACTATAAAACACAGACAGACTATAGAACACAGACATACTATAAAACACAAAACACAGACTATAAAACACACACAGACTATAAAACACAGACAGAATATAAAACACAAAACACAGACTATAAAACACAGACAGACTATAAAACACAAAACACAGACTATAAAACAGACTGAATATAAAACAGACAGACTAAAACACACACAGACTATAAAACACAGACAGACTATAAAACACACACAGACTATAAAATACAGACAGACTATAAAACACAGACAGACTATAAAACACTGACTATAAAACACACACAGACTATAAAACATATAGCCATTTAACCGTGGCTAGGGCTGTGGCGGTTAGCTGTGGCGGTTAACCGTGGCTAGGGCTGTGGCGGTCATGAAATTGTCATCCGGTGATTGTCTAGCAAATAACTGTCAGTCTCACGGTAATTGACCGTTAATTAATATAAACACATTTAGCATCTCCTGTCTTCCACACGTAGCCTACAAGCCACTGATGCAGACCTTTGGAACATCTTAATTTTAAAAAGTCTAATAAATCCATGTAATATAGCCTACACCTTCACAATAAATCCATTATTTATTTTAGACAGGTCTAAAGAAACATGATATGAAGAAAATGTAGTCTATTTCAGAAGAACAGAATAGCGTACTCTGAGTTGTCCTTATGTTAGGTCCTGATCCGGCTATGCCATATGGCTGTGGGCTACACTAGTTCATTTAGCAGACTAGAATTCTGTGGCTTTATTTTATAGTATGAAGAATACAATTGAATATAGCTTAATAAAATATAAAATATATTTTCTCCAAACAATTTCTGAGGGAGTGCGCACTTGCGGCTATTCTGTGTTGAGCGGTTAACAAAGAAACAGGTCCTCCTATATGCTACATTTAGAGTTATTTATGTAACTTTAGTTGTTCTACAAACGTTGGGCTATATGTTTAGATTTTTAATACATTGTAAGGCTGCATGATGAGAGACTAATGATGATTTGAAAAAAGTCCCATAAAAGGCATGAGCTCTGATTTTGTTTTTTGCTCTGGCTGTACACACTTCATCAGTCTCTCATTCACAATTTGACAAGCACTTGATAATGCCTTGAATTTCCCGCCGGCATCCCCTTTGTGTGGCCGTAATGCCTCCTAAAAAAAAATCCAAGCCTTTTGTGGCCGTGGTGACCTTGGGCTGAATATAATAATTATAATTCCCTTCTCCCGGTTGCCAATCGCCGCGATCCAAAGCACCTCTCACTCACATGGCTCTCTCAGATATGTCAATCCTATTAGCCAATGCCCCCACGTGTTCTTCTCACAGGCATCTCAGCTCAGAAGGAGGCTGCAAGTGAAGACTCATCAGGGACCAATTCCGAGGTGCATATTGAAGATGTTGGAAGAACTGTCCACATTTACTTTTCATCAGCCAACTAGATGAGTCGGGCTAACGAACAGCAAAAGCACTAGCCTATGTCAATCTACTATCCCCCATAGTACAAAAGTTGACCTATTCTGTGCGAGAAATAAATATTCCAAACATAGTCTGGGACAGTTGTGGGATGTGATAGATCCCAAATTAATACAACCACTAGCATCAAAAAACCTGTTTTAAGCAATGAGGCTGATGCAAAGGTTTCAGAACGTTTCGCTTAAAATGTTGATAAACTATTTGGCTATTTCTTCACATTATAAGCGCAGCGATGCGCACACGGCAGTAGGCTATAAGCACCAAAATGCAATCAATTCTCAAAAGTTTATGCATGTAATGCTTTATTATAAAAGGTGCATTTTTATGGTGAAAATGATCTTCCCCAAACTTGAAACTCACACGCCCCGCCTATGTATGCCAGGCTCTACACCCCTTGTAATTCTAAGAAGTTATTTGGCCCCTTTAGTTGTGATCCAAACCTTATTAAAACATATAGGCCTATGGGCTAGGCTACATGAGGTGGGCGACTATGATTAGAAAAAAGTTGGGGGAAAAAGGCATGCGCTGTTTCTTGCTGCGCAGAAGCTGGGCATCATTTACAAGTGATAATATACACTACATGACCAAAAGTATATGGAC